CTGCCAAAGAAGAATATTCCAGAAGGTAGTATCCTTGGACAAAATGCTCCTTAACCCAGAGAGTAGCAACAACTTTAGCCCTAAGTACTGGTAGTGTCCACAGGGCTGTAGATGATTGAGGTTCTCCTCAAAGAATTAAACATCCCATGAGTATTAAAAGGAGGACAAAGTATCAATAGATTGTCCTAAGCCAAAAAATTATCCTTTCTTGACTTTCTTAACACTGGCCCTCCAATACCACAAACAACTTGGGTCTTAGAAGTTGAGTGAGGTTAATGGGAATTTGCTTCATAATCATAACTTAGTACCATGGGGCAGGGGAATCCTTCTATTCTCTGCCTGAAGAATTTAGGTCTGAGGAAAAAAGACCTGATGAGTTGGGAAGTTGATGATAATAAAATTATACAATTATTTATCTGATGAGGAATCTGGTTTGTGCACTCATAATCTGATGCAGGTAGCAATTACTACCACAAAATACTTAGGAATGTTCCAGAATTTACTGCAATATATAGGATGGGGTCCAACTGGTTTCAAATACTAATTATTATTATTTATAATTTTTATTGGTATCAGTCTTACAGTTGTCTCCCATTTCCCCCTTTTTGTCCCCTTCACCCAACCCCTGCCTCACCATAGGTTTTTTGCCACACTTTTGTCTGTGTCCATAGGTTATGCATATATACATATATGATCTTCAGTTAATCTCTTCTCAAAGACTTTTTGAGTACTCCAAAATAAAATATTTGAAGTGCCCTCCATATCTTTGGCAAGTATATATGACCCTGGTAAGATTTTATACTTTATAGCTTACTGTTGGACATGGCTATATTCAGCACATCTTAAATTTTTAATACTGTTAAAGAGGTTAAAACATAATACATTTTTAACCCCTTATTCATAAACTATTTTGGTAAATAAAATACAATAGTGGAACACTTTGTCATCTCTTTTTGCCACACTTGGTTGAGAGGGCCCGATTACTTTGAAAAATTATGAAAAGCAAATGTAGTAGTATTTTTTTTTCTGTTTCTATTCCTCACTGGAGGAAATGACACTGCCTGGAATGGTACACAGCTGGTCTCTTGAGACAGGGGCTTTTGTCAACTCCGAGAATGCAAAGGCATCATGTTAGCCTAACTTAGGCAGGTAAAAAACTGCTGTGAAGACTTAGGAATGCACTAAAAAAATATAGTAATACTTTTGAATAAAGAACACTCTTTGGCACACTTCCTATTACATAACTTTCAACAATTAATGACAAAAATCCAGCCAGTGAACACTGCAACACTTGAAATTTGTTTTGCAAAATGTGCTAACATATATGAAACGGCCATACATGGTAGCCCTGTTGTTTTCATTTTTCTTCATCTTCAGCTTATTGCCAATTCTTTGTATCATGATTATTTTATTTTATTCCAGGTCACTAAATCAAAAATTCATAATAGTGCTAAAAAAGATTAGGCACTCCAGAGATGGAACTGTTTAGAACTGGTAGATCTGCACACTGTTTTTCCTAACCCGTGGGTGTTTATAAACATCTAAGTTTCGATTTTAAAAATCCAGGTCAATAGGTTAAGAAAACAGTGATTGCCTCAGTTTAACTGGTGCTAAACCAACAACAGTGCATCAAATACTGTTAAATTGAGGCCCCCTTTCATTTTTTATTCTGGTATAAAAGACCACGTTGTGTGGCATTATGGTTATAATGACTGTTCATTCAATTACCTTGGTACATAGCATGTGAGCAGTTTGTAAATCTGAGCATGCTGGTCTGTTCTTCCTGGGAATGAAGTTTCCTATGGTAGTTTGAGTGACAAACATCTCAGAGCTTGCTCACATTCCTCTGTGGAATAGTCACTTCTGAGAGAAAGAGGTGCGGCTTCGTGGTCTGGGAACAGGACTGTCAGCCAGGAACACAGAGTTCTCATCCTGGAACTAGTTCTATTTTCTTTACGGATCAGGTCATGCTAATGAATCTTTCTAGGACTCAGTTTACCCAGCTTAAAAACTGGTTAGAAAAATCTAATTAACTGGGATATATTGAATATTAATGAGTGGATGGATATCTGTTAAGTGATTTGAAATGAAAAGTGATCTGAATGTAAGTAAGAAAATATTATTTTCATAAACTAAGAAGTTTTATAAACTAACTATAAAAGAACAGTTTTGTGATTTAAAAAAAATTACCCCAAAATAAGAAAATTTCATTTTAATGTTTGAACAGTTTATTTTAATTTTCCTAAATAAATATTTTTATCCTAAATATTTTTATGTTAACATGCTAAGTATTCTATGTGATACAAGTAATTAAGTTCACGATTAGCTTCCATTTAAACATAAAGAGTTAATCTTTTTGTTCTATATAGCAAAGGGAAATTTTTTTGATGTTCCATGCACTGGAAGAATATAGATATTATTAACCTTAATGTTTTAGAGAAAAAAATTAGGATCAAAGAAATATACAGTTAATCTAGAGCTTGAGTAGGGGGGTATAATGAACTGCCTGTTTTAAAATGATAAAGACTTCCAAGAATAAGATGCAAGTTCCAGAAAGAGAAAATTGTACATAAGTGTCTAAACAAAATGGGGGCAAGGAGGCGGGAGTGGGGAGACCTCATGATTATATTCTATAGCTGAAAGAATAAAGTTAAAAAAAAAACACACACCTCAAATGCAAGATGTTCCAGTTTGGTGTCTCAGATGGTCTGCACTCCCCTACCCCAAATACAACCTCCCCAAATTAATCAGCCTCATGTGTGAGATTTTTAAAAAGCCCAAAACTTGTAAAAAAATATGTTGTAATTCTTTACACAAGGAAGCTTTAAATCTATCTTTCTCCCCTTTTTAAAAATGAAAACAAAACAATGGATCTTCATTTCTATGTCTGGGATCTCAAATTTGGCTCTGAATATGTGTTTGTCAAATCTCATTAATTACAGTATTGGTCCCACGAGACGCAGTTGCTGATGCAAAGAACATTCTTCGTATTCAAAATAATCTGAACAAGGGAAAAGAAGCATTTTATTTACCTGTGTAAACATTAGGAGGAAAATAAAAGAGACTGTTCAGGTAGCTGCTGAGATGTTTTAATGGTAATTGATTTGATTACTATAAAGCTTTAAGGTTACCACATATAGGAACAGTCATGTTTTCACTTTGTATATTTGTTGGATGATAACATTCTTGTAAAGGTAACCGACATTAACTTGGCAAGCTCTGAACTAAGACCTTTTAGCATTTTATTCTTTACAGATACTAAGACCAACTTGTTCTGAATTCCATAAGCCACTGTGCAGATCTATAATTTATTTTTAAAATATCAGAAAATATGCCACTACACAAAGGACTCTTCCATGTAACATATCTGGGTAAAATACAATCAAATGAATAAATTACAGCAGCAGACAGTAAACAGCCTGTGTTATTTTCTTTCATTTTCCTTTCTCTAGGAAACAGCAAAATAAACCATGGCTATTTGTGGTCTTGTACTATAGGAACCCATGTGGTGATACATTTTCGTGCTATTAACAAATTTGTTGGCTCAATGAGTAGAAAGTAAAGTCCGTTGTAAAGATGGCTTAATGCCTTACATGGGGAGGATCATCTGCTATGTATAGCCACAACCTAAAAATCTTGTTTTGAGATCTGATGGTGCCTGTGGGCTGTCTTTAGATGGATACTAAAGAGCAGAGTTAAGCAGCCTTGGTTACATATGATATACAGATGCCTGGGTCCATCCCAAAGGTTTCTGATTTAGTTAGCCTGATTTATTCTAGTGAGGTCCCAGATCTTGTATTTAAAAACAAATGAAAAAAGAATAACAACAACAACATCTTCCTAAAGAAAGTCTAATGTGCCACAACTGAGAATCCTGGTTAGAGAATCCCTACATTAGTGCAAGGATAATAACTAATTTATTTTTAGATAACAGCACAAACAAAGCCCATTCTTGTTTTTTTTTGTTTTCATTGATTTTTTTTTTTAGAAAGAGAGAAAAGGAGAAGGATAGAGAGATAGGAAATATCTATCAGAAACATCATCCATTGGCTGCCTCCTGCATGCCCCCTATTGGGGACTGAGCCCAAAACCTGGGCATGTGCCCTGACTGGAATCAAACCGTGACCTCTTGGTTCCTAGGTAGAAGTTCAACCCCTGAGGCACAGGGGCTGGGCTCTTGGTTTTTAATGGAAACCTTACCTTATTCCAGGTGTGGGCAGGAGCATGGATCAACAGCTGCCAGGAACTCCCTCCTTGACAGCATTCTCTAAGCATCACCTTATAGGGAATATTCTATGGGTGATGGAGCCCTGAATGATAATAATTTTCTGGACTGAAGCCAATGGAAGTAGATAATTGAATAACAAATTACATAATGCCAACCTGACAGCAGAGTCTGTAAACAGTGGAAGCCTTATCAACATTTGAGCATCTTAAGTGATAGTTTAAGAGAGAGGTTTCCTGGCTCAGCATCACTCCTAGTTCTTCAGAGACTATGAATGCCATGTCTCCACTACCAAATCACTGTAGATCATTAGAAACAGAAAGGAGACTTTTAGTAAGAAATGGCAAATTACTTCTCTTGGAAAATTAATCAACTTAAGCTATTGGGATTTTTTCCCCCACTTTCTTTATCTCTACTTCTATTGGCAGAATTTTTGTCCTTAATATATATATTTCAGAGAGGAAGGAAGTGGGGGAGATAGAAACATTGATGAGAACCACTGATCGGTTGGTGGCCTCCTACATGCCCCACGCTGGGGATGGAGCCTGGGCATGTGCCCTGACCAGAGAATTGAACCATGACCCCCTGGTTCTTAGGTTGACACTTAACCACAGAGCCTTGCCAGCCGGGCTGAATTTTTGTCCTTTTCATAAAAGCACCTGTATTTTTCTTTTATCTTTTTATTATAATGTCAGTCCTCTATTGTTTTGGTCATCTTCTTTTGCTATTATATTCTATGGCTTCTTCATTTAATGCTGTTTCTTTTATTCTTCTTCTTCTTCTTTTTTTTTTTTTTTTTTTTTTTTTTTTTTTTTTTTTTTTTTTTTTTTTTTTTTTTTACCGACAAAGACATTAATGTCACAAATTAGTAGCAGAGACTAAAACTCACAGCATACAGTTCTTCCCCACCTCCCAACTTCTTTGTAGTTTTCTACTAGGGTGTGTCTTCAGATACTGAGACCTGTTAGAACAATCAGAAATGATACTTTCTTTAAAAATGTTCAAGGAAGGAAATACTTTACCTGTTCCATTTTTTTTTTTCATTTTCCTTAATACCATATAACAGGGTCCTCCTTCATTTCCGACCCCAGTTTTTGATATATATTTGGTTGCCAATCCCTTTTCTGATTCTCTCTCATTTTTTACTAGCTGCCCTTCCTTAACCTTCTGTTGATGTTTTATTCTTATAACTTGATGTCAATGCCCACACAAGCCCATTTCTTTCCATTCCATCCATCTCATCTTCATATGAATTTTTATGACCCTACTACTAAAAGCGTAAAGCTCTATGTGAGGAATAGAAAGGCACACCTTTTCCCATTTGAATCTATTTCGTCTCCCCTCCCACAGCCATTTCATCCTTTTCTGATGTTCCCCTGGTCCCACCCCACCTGCGCGCCCACCTGCACCCCTCTTCCCTGTCACTCCCTGTGACGCCCATCTATTCTTTCTAACTCCACTTGCACTGTTTGATTTTTACATCCAAGGACCCCCGCAACATAAAATTATGGAGTTCTTTCGGGAACCAGGTTGTATTTCAGAAACTTCTGCACATTTACTGAAGTGGGATGGGATTAGGGGCTTGGATTCAGAGATATTCTCAGACAGCCTTTCAGCTCGGGCCGGCTCTTGGAGCGAGGCTGGGGTCCATTCCGATGAACAAGGACAGGATGGCTGCAGGCCTTCTATGGCCCTTCCCACTCCAGCGATCAGGACGAGTAGGCATCACCCATCAAGGTTGGAAATCCAGGCCAGATGGGGATGCCTGGGGCCTTTTTCTGCAGCGATCTGGCAGGGGAGCCGGTGCCTGGTGCACCACAGGGGCTCCGGGCGGGCAGGGGCAGGGGCACCAGAGGCCTCAGGAGTCACCTCGCCATCGGTGGAAGGCAGGCTCACCTCTCAGGAGAGGAGGCAGGCCCGAGGCCGGGTGCTCCCTTGGGGCGCAGGGCGCGGTCCCAGGAGCCAGGCGACGCCACTCCAGCGGCGCCAGCGACCCCGGGCGCAGTCACTCCCCAGGAGGGTAAGCGAGTTGCTCCGGGTCGCTCCGCCCGAAGGTCGAGGGAACAGCGCGTGCAGCCCTCGCCAGCCGGCCCTCGGGGAGCGGGGCGGGGGCGACACCCCGGGGAGGAGGTTGGGGGCGGCCGAGATCAATGCTGGGGACGGGCGCCCGGTCATCAACAGGAGAGGAGCGGGAGAGAGGCTGGCGGGGGGCCCCAAGGGCGGCTGGGGCCGCGGGTCTGCCGGTGTACTCGGCCGGCGCCCCGAAGTCTGGGGCCGCCAAGGCTGCAGCTCCGCCGGCTCCGGCCAGAAACTCCAGGCCGCACTTTCCCCTCCTCCCGGCGCCTTCTCTCCAGTGAGGAGCCGAGCGCGGGCGGCGCGGGGGGCGGGATGGCGGCGGAGAGAACAGCCAGTTGTTTAAAATCCTTCTAGAGCAGTTTCTAATTCCCCCCTTGCGCCGGGGTTCGGCGGGGGGAGGGGGGAAGGAGAACGGGAGGAGGGAGGCGGCGGAGAGGGAAGGAGGGAGGGAGGAGGGAGGGAGGGGAGGAGGGAGGAGACTGCCTCTCTGGCTGTAGCGGCTGCCGCGCGCTGGGGAAGGCCGGAGGGAGGAGGAGGTCTGTCAGTCTCGCGCGTTGCCTGGGCGAAGGGGGCGGAGCCTTGGCGTGGAGCGGCCAATAGTGGGGGTGGCTGCGTGGGTCGCCATGGGGACGGGGCTGTTCCCGAGGAGGCTGTGATGGGTTGACAGGTGCGTGACAGTGGGAGCTGCTCTCGGCACAAGCATGTACGGCAAAGGCAAGAGTAACAGCAGCGCCGTCCCGTCCGACAGCCAGGCCCGGGAGAAGTAAGTGTCTCCGCTCCTCACCCACCTCCGCCAGCACACGCGCGCACACACATGCACGCACTCGCGCACTCTCTTGGAGACATACAGACACACAGACACTCTCCGCCTGGGGAGAGCCGGGGGTGGGCTGGCAGGGGGAGGGGGACGCGATCTGGGGGCGCGCGGTGCGGGGAGCGGCTGTCTCCTAAGGTGCTCTCTCGGGGCGGCGGCCGTGGGGGGCTGCGGGTGGGAGGGAGGGAGTGTGTTGGGGGGCGGCGGCAGTGCCGGTGGCGAGGATGGAAACTTGTTTGGGTGATCGAGGGAAATAACCCGTGGGTTCACCTCCTTACAAAGTAACTTTAGAGCTGGGGTCCGGGGCTACAGCGACCCGGAGAGCCGCCGGGGGTCGCGGGGAAGGCGGGAGGGGGCAGCTGCTTGGAGTAGGGCGCGTGGTGGGGATCGCGGGTGTTTGGAGGGGCGGGCGGGGGTCGGGCGGACGGAGCGAGGGGCACCGCCGCGGGGGCTCGGGCGCCGGGGTTCTGGGCTGGGAGTGCCGGGCGAGACGAGGGCGGCGGTGCCGGGCGCGCGGCGGGCGGAAGCCTGGCGCGGAGCGGCCGAGCGGGGCCCCGCGGGGCGCGGAGACGCGCTCGGGGCGCGGAGGGCGTGTGCGGGTGTGGGTCGTCTGGTGGGCGTGGGGGCTTTCCGCGGCCCCGGGCGGGACGCGGCGCTCGCCGCTGCCGCCCCTCTCCGAGCCGGGGCGGGGGCGAGGGCGGTGGGCGCCCGGGGCGCCGACGAAGTTTGGGAGTCTCAGAAGGACCGAGTTCCCGGGGAGGAAAAGTGTGCTGGCGATGAGCGGGATCTGCTGGAGCAGGCTTACTCTCCTGCCTCTCGCAGCCGCCTCCACGGGCGAACTCCACTGGCGGCGGCTGGCGAACTTTTCTGGGCGACTTGCTGCTTCCCACAGATCTGGGGGCTGCGGCTGCCCGGGCGGCGGGCGGGGCGGTGGTCGTGGGGAGCGCCGAGGGGGTGTTGTGTGAGCTGCGGCCGGCGGCGCGCGAAGGGTTATCTGCGCTGGGAAGGGGGCCCTGGTCCGAAACGGGGTTTTCGGGGAAGGGGGAAGAGTAGGCGTGGGGAGGAGTTGTGGAGCTGGTTGAGGCGGAGATACAGGTGTTAACTTCGGTGGGAGCCCGGAGGAGGCGGGCGAGAAAAGCGCCCCTTGGCCCGGGGTGCCACCGTCGCGGCACACGCAAGGCTGGGCTGCCTGCTGCTGTTCGCCTGCACTTGTAACGGTGATTGGGTTGTTGCTAAAAATGAGAGCGAATAGTGACTGTGACCACTGAGGAAGAACCCCTCTTTTTTGTGTGTGTGCAGCAGATCCTTGGTGCCCGGTAACCACTTCCACTCCGAGGGCGAGGCTCACCTTGCCACTGAAGGGTGCTCTCTCCCTTCCCCAGGGGGTCCAGCCTGGGGAAAAGTCTGAGACCATCTCCCCAAAGCTACTTGGGTTACCTTGCGCACGGAAATAGCTGCGTCAATAACAGGCGAAGGCGCAGGTTTCCCTGTTTGCTTTAGGCAGTGGATACAGCCTTCTCCTGAAAGTTTCTTGTGCCCTGGGGATGGGAACATTTCCTAATCTTCGTGTTGGCAGCGGCACACACAATCCCCATGGGATTTAGGGGTGGCAGGCCTTGATGTAGCAAAACAACAACAAAAAATTAACGCAGAGATGCTGGGTTTTTTGTTGTCGTTGTTTTCCCCATGGTATTTTCTGAGGAGGTACATTCAGGATCTTGTTGCTGTGACAAGGAATGTATAACAGACAGCATCATAACCTGGTTTAGAAACAGCAGTTACTGGAATCAAAGTTTTGAAACAGCCTAATTTGTGTGCATTAATCATTTGGTTGTAATATGGCTGATAAAATAAAAGCCTTTAGAGGAGGATGTTTTCATGATTACAGAGCATATGGGATTGAAGCAACTGAAATATGTTGATGTAAAATCTTATTTACTTTGAGGGTGATTGAATTTGAGAATAAAAGTAATTTTAAATTTTAGTTGGATTCCCAGGAATGGCTGAATTTAATCTGTATCCTGATAACTTTTTAAATTGTTAAAAAATAGTATCTGAGATACTTAATGAGAAAGTTGGACCTGGTGTGTCTGGTCCTTTGTAGTTCTCATTCTGTGATTCTTTCATGAAAACAAATAATTGCCACTTGTGCTGTCAGATCTACAAAACTGAACACCAAGTAACATCTACTCTTTCTTGTAAGCAAAGTAGTGGAAGTTCTGCTAGATGGTGCTATTAGATTTAAATATATGTCTTCCATTCATTGTAATTGACATCAGGAACCTAGACTGGCTCTCCTTATGAACTAAATATAGGTGAAGAGGCCACTTTTGGAACATTGACAATTGCTGTTCTGAGTTAATTGTTGCATTAATTTCTAGATGAGTATTGTTTGAATCTAAGGCAAATACTGAGGTAGATTTTATTTTACAGAATAAACTCATTTTCATTTTGGTGGGAGAGTTGATCTGATTGCTCAGTTTCCCCATCATATTTACTTGGGATATTAATGGCACTATTCTGCAACAGTGTGCTAATTTCTGAAGATAGGAATCTTGAGTTGTCTTTGAAATGGATGTCACCAGATTTAAAACAAAAAAAATTTAAATATATTTTTTATTGATTTCAGAGAGGAAGGGAGATGGAGAGAGAGAGAGAAACATTCATTGGCCCTCTCCAGCAACCCTCTACTGGGATGGAGCCCACAACCTGGGCATGTGCCCTGACCAGAATTGAACTATGACCTCCTGGTTCATAGATCGATGCTCAGCCACTGAGCCACACCACCTGGGCTAGACAAACTTTTTTAAGGTGGCAGATTAAAAAGGTACCTGAGCAAAAAAAAAAAAAAAAAAAAAAATACTCTTTTAGTAAGCAAATTAGAATTGTTCTGATCTTAAAAATCATAGAAGTAATTTGTTTTTCAGTAATAAATACGTAAATATTTATTTTACTTTAATAAAAACATTCTGAAAAAGGAGTCATTATGAATAGTGGTATGCACATAAACTAAATATAGTAGTTTTATAATCTATCAAGAAATGTGTTTTCTAACAAGAGTTCAGGTCTTGTTAGCACTTGTCAGATCTACCAAACACAACACCAAGTAACAAGATAGCTGACAAGTGCTTACCTGTGTTATTATATCTTTGCTTTCTCTTTCACTAAGAAGTCACCATTGGAATATTTGAAATTAACTTGTAGGTTTTACATATTTTTAAATAATTTTACTATTCGGTTCTGAACATAAAAATGGCATCGGGAATATAGTCAGTAATATCATAATAACTATGTAAGGTAACAGGTGATTCCTAGACTTACAGAGGGATCACTGCATAAGGTATATAAATGTCTAATTACTATGTTGTACACCTGAAACTTATATAATACTGTAAGTCAACTATAATTAGAAAATAAACTTAAAAAATGGCCAGTCAACTTAATTACTTATTTTATTGTTTAAAAAACCAGACAGATCAAGTCTATACAAAGGTTTGGATTAGGTTTAATTATAGAGGGAATGATTGAAAATCCTTGGAGGGAGGTGGGATATTTGCATAGAAATTTAAATTCTGATCTTGTTAGGTTATTTCTCCCTATTTTTTTTTTTTTTTAGCACAGACACAATTGTGATTAAGTAATTATATAATTGGTTGTTTAATGTCTAGTCTCCTCTAAAATGTAAGTTTCTTGAGGGCAAGGGATGATAATTCAAATTTCTTTTCTGAGGTATCCTTGATATTCAGGGTAGTGCCTTCATATGTCAGAAGCACCAAATAAATATTTGAATAAATGAAGATATTAGACTCAAAGAAATTTTTTACAATGTGAAAAAAATCTTTTGACCTCCAAAATGACCTCCAAAAAAAGGACTTTAAAAGTTTGAGTTCTACATTCTGTAGCTTAATTGTATTTCAAAAATAGCCAATAAAGGCAAAACAATAATTATTGTTTGTCATTCTACATGCCAGCTACTGTGGTCAGTGCTTTATGTATATTTTCTCCAGTTCTCACAACACTTATGCAAGATAGTGATTTTTTTCTCCATTAAAGAAAAAGGAAAAGTAACTTGCTCCTTACCTGGGCTTCTAACAAAGATTTCTTTAATTTTAGAACCTGTGGTTGAAACTGAAAGATACTTTTTTTTTTTCTGTATGTCAGATTGGCTTCCTGATCTAGGGTAGGATGCTATAGATTTAGGGAACAGCATTACATAATCAGATATAAGAGATTTTAAAGATTGGATCAGATGTGCAGACTTAACCATTGGTTAACCCTGATGCTTATATCCTTCATTTTGATGGATGGCAGATGTATATGTGGTTTGGGAAGGCACAGAATTTTTAGGGGTGAAAGTTGGAAGCCTAGATAATGAAGACTTTTTGTTTATTCAGATTTTTTCTTCTAGGATAATTCCAGTGCAGTGGAGGATATTTTCTCCAAAATGCTTAACAACTTTTATCTAATATGTCCTCTTGGTTGTGAGAGTTTTTCTTTGGATTGCTCTCTTTTTTACTATTTTAGAAGTATCCCCCGCCCCCAAAGAGTTTTTGAAGGAACAAACCTAAAGAAAAGAGAATGTGTAAGGTTAAGAGTTAAATTCTAGCATTCTTTATCTGGGTATTTATCTTGACTCTTAGGAAAGGGGTTAATATTGTAATGTATTTTTACAAAAAAATAAAAAATGAGAGGTTTATTCCCACACTTTAGTTTGCCCTATAAAACCAATTCCGGATGAAAATAAATCAGTAAATTTTAGTTGCTCTGCAGTAGTGGACCAAATGTGTCCTTTCATCTTCACTTACTCCTAGAAAATAGAATTATTTTGTTTTGAAATTAAAACATACAATTTGGGGCTGGCAGTGGAATACATAGATTGCAGTTTATTAACATTTCACCCCAACAGTTTAGAGTTGAAAGTAAAATTTGGGAAAAATATACTTTGAATTTAGAATCTTCTTTCTTCCATAGGGCTCATAACTGTTATGTTAATGTTGGTATATAGCATTGAGGATTAATGTACTAGGTTGAAAAGATATGATACTGCTGCTGGGAATATATAATTTAAAAATATGCATTGAAGATAATTATAATTTTATTGTGGAGTACATGGGAATATTCTCTACTATTGTGTACTATTGTGAATATTCTCTATCATTGCTTTGATAATGGATGGAAATTATATGAAATATTTGCATGCTAGTGACATGTTGGTTAGTAATATGTGAGCCTTTGTAAATATATGCTGAAATATTATTTTTATTAGTAACTTATTGTTTCGCCAAGGAAGGATTTAAAGTAGCATTGGAGCAATAGAATAAGATATATTGGAGGATATATCTGAAGAGAGTTTGGAGTAAAAATGTCAGTGGTTATATTTAGATTTTAAATTTTGCTTATTAGATTTTTTATATATTTTACATATGCATCATTGATCATGTAAGGTTTTGTTAACATATGTCTATAACAACATGAGTAGGACTGTGTGATTTACTTGACTATTATAGTAAAACCCATATGGTCTACAAAAAGTGATCTGAAGGGTGGTCCACTCATTTTCTGTAATGTTAGAGAAATAGTAAAGGCTATTTTTACTTTCCTTAAACTATATTCATTGTGTGAGAACATTGAAAAATGGGTGAAAAATGGTTCACCCAGGGAAAAAAAGAGTTTTTCCAGGCAACTTTTTTCATAGTCCTGCAGCTGCCCAAATTTATGGTTGGTCATAATAGGTAACATAGTTTTTGTCAGAGTTGGTTAATAGTTAAATATTTTGAAAAGTAAAACTAATAGTGTTTTTGTAATGTTGACAGGACCAAAATTTATCTGTACTCAGAAGACCCTGGGCAGTTCCAGTGCAATGGAGGATTTTGTTAATCCTCAACTGAGGATATTTTTCCATTGATAGAGTGGAAGGAAAGGGGAGAGTCAGAGAGAGAGAAACATCCATATGAGAGACATATCAATTGGTTTTATTGCCTCCTCAGGCTCAGGGGCCGGAGCCTGCAACTGAGGTACATGCCCTAGACCTGAATCGAACCTGGGACCCTTCAGTCCCCAGGCCGATGCTTTATCCATTGAGCCAAACCGGCTAGGCCCAATGGAGGATTTAATATTTGTTCCTTCTTCTTTGTCTCTTTAATAATGACAGAACAACCCTCACATTGTACTTTAAGAATTTTGATTATTCTAAGTTATGTAGAACTGTAAACAGCTTTCTGACAATAATGAACCATTATAGCATCTTAAATCACAATTTAGCTGGAGTGAGCTTGAACCAATGACCTGGAGGTCTCCAATTTTGATCTTCAGTATTAATTTTTCTTCATGGCATATCAAGTAAGTAGTTTGGCACAGAAAACAATATAGAAATGAAGTATAACAGTTGCTCTGTTTTTCTGCTTTAAAATATTTTTTGTAATTGTAGGTATTAATATAGTATAGTTTTAATTACTAAAATAGTTGTAATTTTTGATTAATATAATCTAAGCCATATTAAAATAGTGATGGAATATTTATGAAGGTAAGATGAAAATTTATATATGGCTCTGTCCATGTAAGTTAAGAGAGGAGTTGGTGCTAAACACAGCCTCTCCCCTGATATTCATATGGTTATTTTTTCATTAGTGATCTGATATTTGCCTTGGTTCTCCTTTTTCTTTTTTCCTTTTTACCTACTTCAAATTTGAGAAAGAACCAAGAGCTACTGATAGAAGAAATCCAGGTAAATATATTATTTTTTTAAATGATTTTATTTAAACAGGATTAAAATGAATGTTTTCTGTAAAATAACAAAATTCTAACTACTACATAAAGAGCTTGTGGAGTTTTGTCATAGAAGGTTGTTGTTTAACAGTAACAATAACAACGTTATCATTTGAGTATTTTGTTTATATTTGGCCTTTACTTGCATTGTTTCACTTAATCCCCTTAAGAATCTACTAGACCATAGGTACTATTTTCTGTTAATGTTACAGAAAAAAACAGGGGCTTAAGAGTTTATGTTTTTGGCTGCAGGTATCAAGTCAGGAGATAGAAAATGGCTTAATTGATCAGGATCTAAAAATAAATCTCACATAACAGGATGCTTGGAAGAGGTAGTTTGGTAGTTGATTCAGTGAGTCAAGTACATCCAGGGTTCAGGATAAGCTTCTCTGCTGTCCTCATGGTTTCCCCCTCAGGAATGCAACCCACATCCCTGCATCAGATTCCCAGCATCATGTTCTCATACAACCAAGTATAAAGGCAGGGAGAAGAGCAAGGTTCTTCCTTCTTCATGTTTCCTAATTGGCAAGGTAAACCTTTTCTTGAAGTTGCTTAGCAGATATCTTCTTATGCCTTATTGAAGAGAACTGCCATTCCCTCCCCTAAACCAATTACCAGCAAAAGGTTACATAATTGGTTTCAATCAGTCATCCTTCGTCCTCTGGGCTGGAAACATTGCTCCCTTGTACCTGAGCTACCTGAACAAAACTGGGGCTATTTGGCAAGAAGATGTATCTTGAGGATATGTTGAGAATAAAATGGGTCCCTGCTTTAATGAAACTTATTTTCAAATTTCAAGGAGAAACATATAATAAGTAAATAAATGTAGTAGGCAATTTCAGGTAGTCATAAGTATTGTAAAGTAATGAGGTAGAGTGATGTAATTTAAAGAGTGACTGGTAGTCAGGGGAAGGTTCTTAGAGAAGGGACCATTTAGGCAGAACCCTGAGTAATATTGAAAGAATCAATCATGAGAAGATTTGGGGTTAAAGCATTTCAGGCAGGTTTAAAGTACCATTGAGGAAACCTCTCAGCATCAGCATAATTGCTCAGGTATATATAAAATACTGTATGAATCAAGTTTGGAATGAAAAGCTGTATTTCCGGGGCCTGGTTTTGGTTTTTACTGAGGAATTGGGTGAAGGGTCTCATGTACCTAGGTTTTCCTAGATAATAAGGTTGACTATCTCTTATCTCCCAAACCCTGGAGATAAAGTTGTTCCTAACTAGAACAGTGGGACATGTGGGTTTTATAATAATGTTGGCTATAGAAATAGGTAAGATTCATTGAACACTTAAAGCCTATTGGGTTCACAAAGGATGGTACAACTGGCATAAAATTTCCCAAACTGTATTAGAGACTCTTACTGTGTGCTTTCACAGCAAGCTCTATTCTTCCTTTTGTCATATCTATCATATATTAATGAATTGTGTGATCTTTTAATGTCTTATTTCCCAATTAGATTGGAAGCTCCCTGAAGAACCATAGTGTTGTCTTCTCCAGTATATTCCCACTGATTATCATAGTGCTTGGAATTCAGATTAGGTATTTGTGGAATAAGTGAATTGAGGATTCACAACAGGGTATCACTATATGTAGCTCATTTCTCTCCCCAGTATTTCTAATATTTGGTACCAGAATTAATGTATAATCTCTAAGAAGTGTTTTCTGTAATATAGGCACGTAGTAGTCTTCCTGTGAATTTTAGGATAACAGATTACCTAATTGTTTTACTATGAAATATGTGTATATTCTATATAATAAAAGCCTAATATGCTAAGTGTCCGGTCGTCTGTTCAACCAAAGTGTAATATGCTAATGATATGCTAAGGCTGCTCAACCACTCTCTATGACATGCACTCACCACCAGGGGGCAAATGCTCCGACTGGTAGGTTAGCTTGCTGCTGGAGTTCAGCCAATTGGGACTGAATGAGATGGGCTGGACACGCCCTGGAGCCCTCCCGTGGTTCCTCCCTGGCAGGCCAACCTCCTGTGTCCCTCCACACCCCGATCATGCACCAGTGGGGTCCCTTGGCCTGGCCTGCACCCTCTCGCAATCCAGGACCCCTTGGGGAATGTTGGAGAGGTGGTTTTGGCCCAATCCCGCAGGCCAGGCCGAGGGACTCCACTGGTGCATGAATTCGTGCACCAGGCCTCTAGTTTTAATATAAACTTGTATTAGAATAATCTTTTAACAAATTTAATAGTGAAATTGTACTTTATAGTTTCAAGATTTATTTAATTTAAATCTCACAATGATTTTGTGAGGTAGGTGAAAATTGACTACTGAGATTTATAATTGGAAATAGATTTACCCAGAGAGGGTCCTAGAGATACTATGTGGCAGAGCTGAATCATATTGAGATTATTTTCGGTTCCAAGTTCAGTGTTTCTTTCATTATAGTACAGCTGCCTCTTTTAAAATGAGAGATTCATGCATATATATCTTAAGTAGGCAGAATCATGAATTCAATGGTAGTTAAAAGTTTGTACCAATACTTGGATTTAATAGAAAGTATTGCTATAGTGTGCGTTAAGCACAAGTCTATATAATTACTTAACTCCAAATGTGCTATATCATAAATAAAGTCTGATTTTTGTTCAAAATCCTTATGCTTCTGTTATATAAGTTAATTGGTTTGGGATTTGGGGTAGTTGGGATTTCAAATTTGTGAAGGCTCAGGCTAATTTTGATCAATGAACTATTCTCTATTTCTTACCAATTAGCTTCAATTTGGAGAGCTGGGATAAGGGTAGGGAAAGGAAAGGATTTTTTTTCCTTTTGTACCTGTTTCCAATATAGAAAGGAAAGTCTCTTGATATGGATTATTGATAGAATATTTTTTTTGTAATGGTAAAATATATATAACATAATATTTATCATTTAAACCATTTTTAGGTATACATTTCAGTGGCATTATGTACATTCACATTATTGTGCAACCATCCCCCTCTATCTATAGAACTTTTTCATCTTCCCAAACTGAAACTCTTTATCCATTAAATAATAACTCCCCATTTCCCCTTTCCCAAGCCCGTGGCAGCCATCATGCTAACTTCTGTCACGATAAATTTGACCACTCTAGATACCTTGTATAAATGGAATTATACAGTGTTTGCCTTTTTGTGTTCGGCTTCTTTTCTTTCTTAATCTCTCTAGCAACTTCATTGCTCATTTAAACTATCTTGCCTCAGTGTATTTCATTGCTTATTGTGGGATAAAAACAATGGGAGTTGTGAGGCTGGGGAGTGGGAAGGGAATGCGAGGATAGTTCCATTTTTAGTTGGGGGGAAGGCAATAGAAAAGAGAGAGGTTAAGGAAAAAGGTTAAGGAAAACATGTACAGCTGCTAATAAGTTGGGCAGAATCATAGCAACCAAAAATGCTCCACAAATAGCTCCAAATTCTTTAGCTGGATTTAAGAACTTGGATGTAATGTTTGTCAGATAGGAGCTTAGATTATCATTTCAGGTAGAGCTGTTTTTTTCTTCTTTCTGTATCTAAAGGCAAAATTATCTGACATACATTACTTCAGTTGGTGGATTTTAGAGTCAGAAATAAAAAGAATAGGAATGTATAATGTCTAGGGAAAAAACTTTCTCCTCTAATTATGAGTCTCCTCTAAGTATTGTCTCTTCCAACCAACATATGCCTATTGTTTTTTTGTTTATTTGTTTTTGGACTAGGGCATCTGGGAAGTTCCATGTGGTCCATGAGCAATAGTATAACCATATTGAATCTATTACATAGTCATTTCTGTAGTACTGACTATTAGAAAAAAATAGAAACAACTCCTTAGTTTTATTTTTTCATTCATCACATGCCATTTGTTGTTTATAATTGGATTGAAATTATGTGATAATTATACTTTATCAGTGCATTTAAGCAATAGCTATTAGGAAGCTATTAAAGGTATTTCAATATGCATTTTAAAACCCTGAATTAAATAGATATTATTTTTTTATTTAGAAATATAGTAGTGGAAAATCCTGAGTAAGGTTTCTTACCATAAAATACATTATATACACATAGGCACACACACATACGTGTTTGTGTGTATATATTAGGAATAACTTGCAAGTAGTTTAACCTGGGGAATGAGTTACTAATTCATTTTGAATTCATATTGGTACTAGTTCAGTTATGCAGGTGAGTTGGATGTATGTATAAATTTAGGGCTAGAAAGATTAGGGTATAGGCATGTTTTTATTAAAACATTAAAGGCTGAGATGGGGATATTAACAAGATCATATTATAGCAAGCACTGGCAACAATGCTGCTAGTTGACAAAGTGTTTCTGTGTATTAGATGCTCAGCAAGATAGCTTCCTTAAAAGGATAGTTGGAGAGAGTTTAATAAAGGTATGTGCAGGATGAAAACTAACAAGGGATGGAGGAACACTCAGGAATTAGCATCAAGGGAAGAGTTACCTGCCGTAGATCTGCAGGAGAAAAGGCAGAGGGCAGTTAACCAGGATCGAGTGAGCACTGTGGTGACTGCAGAAATGTCACCCTCCTGGGGCTGTGGTTTTATGAAGAGGACCACAGATACTGTGAAACTCACTGTGAACAG